GAACATCTGATGATAAGTAGAAAACTGAACTCCTCAGACACTAAGTTTGAGTTTGTCTTGGATGGGGTTGTACCTGCCTCTAAATGAGATCCATAGCTTAGGAATGTTCTTTGATCTTCAGTTATCATTAGATTTGTAGGTGGTGACTATAGTGAGGAACATTTTCACAGAATTAATGATAATGTGCCAACTGTGATATTCCTGATAGATTTGTCAACAGTCCTTAATTACTGTATATCATGACTATTGCAATGGACTCTATGTGGGACAATCTGTCAGAAGTGCTAGAAGTTTGCAGTTGATACAGAAAGTGGCAGCTAGGTCGCTACTCAGTGCAAGGCACAGTGCAAAATTTTGAACTGGTTGCCAGTTGTTTACTAGACATAAAAATGCCTCAAGACCTAACCAGCTGATAAACCACTTCTGTTATGAAGCTGCCTGCCTTTAAGATTTACAGGACAGGTCCCTTTGAATTGGGCTTGCTGTCAAAGACTCTTCTATCTGCCCCATGGGAAACAGCTCTCCTGCACATTGCTCCCAGCTATGGAATACACTCCCTTAATAATTCACATGGTCCCTCCTCTCTCAGCATTTAGGAAGTCTCTAAATATACAACTCTTTCTTCAGTTTTTTAATTGGTCATTTTTATTAACATTCATGCTACATTTTTAATCTTTTGTATTGTATTTTAAAATTTTGTTAGCTATTCCTTGAGCAAGGAATAAATGAAATAAAAGCATATACATGTGCAGAAGTCAGAATAATCAAAATAAATTATTTCAAAATCAATCAACTTGTGAGAAATGCTACCACCAGAAAGGAATTTTATGGGCTATTTAGAAATAAAAAGTAAAAAAAAAAATACTTACTTCAAACATCAGATTTGCAGATAAGATTTTTAAAAATACACTAAAAATGTATAGCATGAATGAAAGAAATGCCGGTTTAGAATGAGTGTAAAGTGACTGGGAAAAAAGAAAATATTGCAGAAGTTACCAGAAGAGCAAAATTTGCACTGTTTATTTTTTTCCCCTCAATACAAGGAATACTTATTTTAAGGGATGAGTTTATGATGAAGTTAGTTTGTATTTTCCTTAATAGTATCTCTAATAATAAGTAATCACTTGTGGACATTTTGCAGACATTTTCTTTAGGTCTTTGTTCTCTGAGAAATTTTACATAGGTCATACAAACATAGGCATGAGGGCCTATTGCTGGGGGGGGGGGAATTTTAAACATTGGTTAATTGTGGTATTCTAAAAATGAGTTTGATTGTGACATTCTAAGGAACGCAGTTCATATGAGCATCCTACCCAGATCTCTTCTGATTGCATAAACAATTAGGCACACATTTCTTTCCTGCTTCTGGATGCATGCTACTTCTCCTTTGTATTATTTCATTAAAAAGTGAATAGTGATGGCACAAAAATAAGCAAATTAAGTTGAGGACCACCCATGTGAATATAGGTTAGTGTAGGAAGTATCTGAGATTGCTTGTTGTTGCTGTAATGGTATCTGCACTACTGATCTGTTTCTTCAGCACTGTGAGTGATTTGAAGTAAGAAGAAAACCTTTCAAAATATGCATTAGACTGTAGTATTTCTAGTAGTAAAATCCATGTTGCTTTTACTCTGCTTCTTTGCCATGTTGATATACAGTGGGGCAAAAAAGTATTTAGTCAGCCACCAATTGTGCAAGTTCTCCCACTTAAAAAGATCAGAGAGGCCTGTAATTTTCATCA